TTGGACAACACTTTTGTACACAATCTTCCTGTTTCTTATAAAACTGAAAATTTTCCAAAATATCCTCCCCTAACAGTTAAGATACAATTTTCCCTTCTATTAATTAATTTTTCACTTAAACTTTTAATTACACTTAAACAAATAAAATTAAATTAAAATAAAAATAAAATTTTATTCCTAGAATTTTTATTTAATCGAAAAATTCGTCTAGAGTAAAATTTTTAATTAACCTAATTTTCATTTGGAATATGGATTAATTTTTTTTTAAGTGTGAAAAAAGGTAAAAAAAAAAATTAAAAAAGTGTAAATTATAATTTTTTTTTTTTTAATTATTGAAGGAAGAAATAAAAAAAAATTGAATAATAAAAATTCTCGGATAGTTTTTTTTTTTTCGTAGGCAAATACACTTTGGAGCAAATGGTCGATAGATAGTGAGAGAATTTTTACGAGTATCTCGCTCATCTTCGCCGTGATTTTATCTCCCACTTGAGACTCGTTGAAGCAAGAGAGGTTGGAAGGGTGAACGTGAAGCGCGGAATTCATGCTTCTATATAAGTTGTCTTAATTATCTTAACCCTCTTGTGAGTCGTGTTTCCTTCTCTTCTCACTTTATGACGCGCGTCCCGCACCTCGAAAATGGTGCTAGGGGGAAAAAAAAAAAAAAAAATTGGACGGTTATTAATTAACACTCGAGATGAAGAAAGGACCTGATGATGAATTAAATTAAATTGTTCCAACAATTTCATGTCAGATTATCGCGCACTGAAAACTGTTAGACAAAGTGCTTAATCAAACATTGAAACACTGACTACATTATATGAATTGAAAACTTAACGAATTTTATCAAAACTTATCTAAGCAAAAAAAAATGTTTTTTGTAATAATTATTTTTTTATAAAAATTATTATTTTGAAGAAAAGAATTTTTTATTATATTAATTTTATATTTCATGAGAATAATTTTCTTGACTTTGTTGAAAATAAACTTTCCAAGAATTTTTTCTTTTTACCTACACCCGAAGGTGTTTTTAACAGGTTCTGCTTTGTCTCAGAATTTTTTTTTTTCCTGCGATAAATTTAACTAATTCAAGTGGTACTATAGTTAAATGTACTGTGATAAAAATACCACGAACATAGACGATTTTGGAAAGAAAAAAAAAAGTCTAAAGTTTTGGGTAATAAAATATGTACCCTTCGAGTGTCGTTTTACTAAACTTGGAGCGATTAAATATTCCAAGTTTTCCATGACTACAATAGCGACATCAATGCCAAAATCACACAATATTTTTTTTTGAAATATATCCTATATTTTTTCCGTAAAAAAAATACCAATTTTTTGCCTCTTACTTTTTTTTCTTCTATAATCCTATTTTAACAAAAACAAAAAGTGATAATCGTGAAAATAACGAATTTTCACCAAAGTTTATTATTTCATTAAATGCATATATAGTAGAATAATATATTTTGTCTTTTGTTTAGTTTTCAACTTCTATTTGACTTCAAGAGCCAGAAAATTACTTGGATTCAGAAATGAATAGGTGTGCTGCTACATTTCATATTCATTATTGAGATAATTCTCTTTAAGCTTCTTTGTTTCCTAAAGTATAAAAAAATAACTTGGTTTTTGATTGTGAAAAATTGTATTTTTAAAAATGAAATTAGTAAATTCTTTTAAAAATAGTATTTCTTTGAAAAAATTATATAATAATTATTTCTTACGTAAAATTGATTAACTTATTTGTAAGCGAAGTTCTATTATGAAGCATCTTACAGATAAGTTTGTTTAACCATTTAATTTTACATAGGAAATAATTGTATATATAACACAAAAGAACTTGATTTGAATGGGTCATGATAAATGTTCATAGAATTAGAGAAAAGGGCTTTTTACAATATTACGAATGTAAGTTTTCGAAATGAAAAAAAAAAATGAATATATTATATATACAATAATATTAATATTAAGGAAAATTTCTCGAATAGAAGGAAATATTTCCTTTTCTCATTCAGCCAATTTTCGTCTTCGCGATTTACACCTAACCTCATTCTTGTAGTAATGCGGGTAATTTTCTCCTCTGTCATCTGCAAAAGCAATTATCTTCAAGCTGGTACGCGACTCGCATTAACGAGATGCATGAATCCAAGGAGAAAAGCATCGACAACGACTGCGCTCCTTCACAGGCAGAGAGAAAACGATAACACGAGAATCGTGAGAGTACAAAATTTAACGCAGTTAGACAGATTTTCCGTGTCGGTAGTTTAGCGAATATTCGTTTTTATGCACCTCCATATTTCATGGGCTCGTTCGAACACCTAATGGCGCTATTTGTTTTGATACTAACAGACTGTAAATAGAGTGCTTAATGCACTGTAAATTTCTACCCTCTCCCCCTTTTTTTTCATATACAGAAAAACACATATATATACATATTTACACAAACATATTTACATAAAACGTGCATTATTTAAAATTGATGCCCTCTTTTTTAGTCAACAATTTAGTTTCGTCAATTTGAATACCAAAAAAAAAATTTCTTTCACAATAAAATATCCTTCTCTATTTCACTGATATCTTTCGAAAACAAAGGTGTAACGATTTCTAATGCTATAAAAATAAGAATTTGTTACCCCTAATCGAATTTTATTAACCCAATACACGAAAATAGAAAAGTTTTACTACATATTTCCTTTTTTCTTTCTATTTAAAATGTAATAATAGAAAAATAATTCAAAGGTGTGTGTTGATTTAACCAATTTCACGTTTAAGAAATGAGAAAATTACTAATAGCATTTCGATGTAATAAACTTGGAAATTTATATATATATATATATAGTCTATAAATTCACAAGCACAGGGAAGTGTATAGTAAAATTTTAATTTCCATTAAAATCAGAGAAATCTAATATCAACTCTGTGAAATTTCTATTTTCACTCTAATTAAAAAGTGAAGAGTCAAGTATTGATTTGCCTGAAAATACGACAGTCATTTTAATGTGAATTCTCCAAGAGACTCTTATATTATATTTTATATATATATATATATATATTTGAGTAGAGAATTTTCTATCATTAGAAAATGTGTATATATATTTATTTAATATAAGGAATAAAAATTTAAATCTTATAAAAAATGTAAAATAATTTATTAGAATAGTAGATATAATGAAATACGATCTGGAAAATATTTAACATTTATAATAAATTGAATTTTATTAAAAAAAAAATACAAATCATTAATTTGGTTTTTGTTCTATATTTTTTTTTTTCATAAAATTTTTCTAATAATAAAAAATAATACTAACAATATTTTTTTACAGTTTTTTTTTTTATTTTTTTTTTGGAAAAGAAAGGTTTGCGACGTGTAAAATTGAAGTAGTGTCGTAGTTATGTTGAACTGGTTGTCGAACGTGAGTTGGAAACTTCAACACGACTTTAGTTCGACACGTTTTTGTCCGATAAGTTGGTTCGATTCGATTTTGGTTCAGATGAGCTTTCAAAGTACTTAGAAAAAGCTTCATCTGGAATTGAAAAATATCTACATCTTATATATATTGGAAAAAAGTACAGAATTAAAAATTAAATCTTTGGCGCTAAAATTTTAAAGTATTCTTGAAGTAATTTAATAATTATAGTAATCAATATAATGTAATATATTATATGTAATATATTATATGTAATATATTATAATATAATGTAATATAACATAGTATAATGTAATATAATAAATATAATATATACTATATTGTAATACATAGCATAATATACAGAAATAAAAGTGAAAAATACATAGAAAAAAAACGTGCAAGTAGTATAAGTCAATATTGTGTCAGCCAGTGAATAAACATGTTTATCAAAATGCGAAAAAACCAAATTACATTTTTTTTTTCATTTTCGCATTTAAAAATTTGTGATTTTAAAAAAAGAAATTTACAATAATAGAAATTGTCGAGTTGAAATCGAAAAATTTTTGACAAGTAAACGCGGTGCAGTAAAAAATAAATTAGTGACGAGTATTGCGTCAATCATATTCACTTTTCATTTGTCAATCTTTATTTATTATTTTCCAAAAATTATGATTTCATTTTCAATTGTTCGCTATCTGAAGAATAAAATATATTTCTAAAAAATAAAAAAATTCTTTAACTTTAAAACAAAAAATAAAAAACTTAATTAAAATCATATTTTTTCTTAATTAGGATTTATTTTACCTTTTTTTAAACTAAAAAAAAATTTGCTTTCATTTAAAATCATTTTTTTTTAATACATTTATAAAAAAAAATGTAAATATTGTACTAGATCGAGTGGGTGTAAAGGAGCATATAACAATAGAATTCCACGTTATTTATAACAATGAAATATTTCAAAAAGTTAAATGAAATAAAAGTAGAGGGAATTTTTCATGTTAAATTTGGATTTGGTTATATATATATATATATAAATATACATGTTTTATTTTGATGAATAGGAAACACGCAGATGGGATGATGTGTGTATAAATTGCACAATAAGCACGAATGATTTTGGTTAGTGGACCAGTTTGCAAAACGATGTATTCGACATACAAAATCAGCAAGATCAGTATGGTTACTGTTGTCATGTGCTCCCGAGGTCACGAACTTCACTCCCCCCCCCCTTCCCCCTCTTTTCATCCTAATTTGTGTGACAGTGATTCTACGCAGTGAATGCATGTTCTCCACATCAACGGTTGACCAAAATCACACGTATCACACTGTATATATACATACATATATATAATATATATATATATATATATGCAGTTCACCTTCATCATTCTCATTGTATTCGACATTTATCTTCCGTCAATTTCAACCCAATATTTTTATCATCTTTCAAAATACTCATTATTCATTGATATTACCAAAAAAATCCTGAAATTTTGAATCAATGTCTAATTTATTTTTGATTCTGTTCAAACAAAATTATTAAAAATTTTTTTCCACAATAATGAAAAATAAAAATGATTTCTTTAATTTTTACAGGACGGCAGGCGAGAAATGTTCAAATTCATGGAAAATCTGCAAATAATCATGGGACTCACGATATTGCAACGGTTGATGATTTCACGAACGGTAAGAAATTTTTTTTATTATAACATTTCATAAAGATTAAATCTTAATAAAAATATCTTCAATATTAATTTTGTAATAAAGATATATATTTGCGCTTATATGTCAAGTGAATATTATAATATTGTTTACATTTTCCATCATTGCAATATTAATGTACATTTCTATATGCAAAGCATAAACTATTTTAATATATAATATCCTTGGTTCGTTGGCGTTACTATAATCATCTAAATAGTTAAGCTAACTTGGTAAAATACAACTGTCATGGTGCTTTATTATGTAATCAAGGAAGATGACATTGTTTGTCAATTTACAATGCCACAACACTATTATTATTATCATTATTATTATTATCAATCGTGTACTTAAACAACATAAATTAAATAATTTTATACCTTCTCATCAATTGGTATATTGAAAGACCCTCACTAAAATTATATTCACGATTATTGCTTGTTGGGACCAATATGAAAATTACGTTCACTGCAAATCGCAAACACATTTTCCGAATTGCTTCGATTATTATTAATTTTCACATAATTTATTTAAATTTCCATTATTTCATATATTTAACATATTTTATTTTCAAAATGATTTTAATAAATATTTAAATAAATATTTTTTTATTAAAAAAAATGTGAAAAAACTTAACTCTTTTGTTTTAAATATTTATTCAATTGTTAAATTTTTAGTAAAATTTGACGAGGACATTTTATTTCTTTTACGTTTATTATTATTATTATTATAAAGGAAAATTGAAATTTAATGAGATTTCAAAGGACATATATAATGAAATTTCGAAGTTTCAAAAAGCAAAATTCCAAGAGCGCGACGCAGTGAATGCACCTCGCAAAAGATGACGAAGTACTGGAACCAGAGTATGAATATGAATAAGAAGACTGAAAAGGGATAAAGCCGAGAAGAGGCGAAATAAAATAATCTCTCTCTCTCTCTCTTTTCGTACAAAAATCCTTTTTTTTTTTCTCAACGAATATCCGGCCACAATTGCGCGTCAAGTGCTTCCGTTAGATTTCCAATTTCTATAAAAAATTTTCTTTACTAAAATTGACAGCTAAAAAAAAATCTCATTTGCAAATTTTTATATTCACTTTAAGCGAATTAGATTTTTATTTCTAACCTTATGGAATTTTAAATAAATGACTAAAAATTAATTTATCTATTTTCTAGGGTAAAAAAAAAATTATTAAAATATTTTTTTGGAAATGGATTTAAATATTTGTATATATGAATGAGAGTAAATATTTCCCCATGATAAATCGTTTGAAAATTGTGTAAATAATGATATATGAAAGTTTGCCAATATATGAAATATATACCGCAGTTATTAAAAGAGATACCCCCGTCTCTCTCTCTCTCTCAAGTTTATATATTTTCTTGTTGAAGGAAATTAATTTTTAAGCACACATAAATTCCATTTCACTTGTATTTTTTTTTCCCCTCTGACATAGCGACCTCTTTCATCTCTCCTTTTGCACAGCTATTCTACCTGCAAATCGCTACCAGATGGGGAAAATTGAATTAGTCACAGCCACACTTATAATTACAACCGCTACTGCCTTCGGTCTCTCTCTCTCACTCTCTCTCTCTCTCTCCCATCCTTCGCTTCGCTGATTTCACGAGCGGCAAGCGTGCGGTAATAGCAGTAATTTTTCCAACGTTAATTTCATGCAAAAGTTTCCAGGTTCGCCGAGTCTACACAGTCTATTGGTCTTTTTGGCCTAGAATATGCCGGATACAAACCGAGAGAGAGAGAGAAAGAGAGAAAAATAGATATTTAACTGTAGAAAAAATTCACTGGCAATCTTTCCTCGTGGCAAACCTCCAGCAAGAAGAGAAGGATCCAAATGCGAAAATCGTAAAAAAAAAATGCCTTCTTGCTTTTAGAAATAATGAATAAGGATCCTCAAGAAATATGTTTTTATTTTTAATTATCAAATCGAAAAGTCGTTCTTTTAACCCCTTCGCAGTCCAGTTAAAAATCGCTGGTGGGCCTAAAACGGTCCGAAAAAAAAGTTTCCAAAAAAATATGACTTCATCATATTTAAGGTTTTTGTGGTCGCTGAATTCGAATTTGAGGTCAGTTTTTCAAAATTCAAAATGGCGGATCCAATATGGCGGACAAATTTTTAAAAAATCAAACCGATTTGCCTGAAATTTGTTACTCAGGGGTTTTTGTGGTCGATGAATTCGAATTTGAGGTCAGTTTTTCAAAATTCAAAATGGCGGATCCAATATGGCGGACAAATTTTAAAAAAAAAAATTTTTAAATTTGTCCGCCATATTGGATCCGCTATTTTAAATTTCAAAAAACCGACCTCAAATTCGAATTGAGCGATCCCAAAAACCCCCGAGTAACAAATTTCAGACAAATCGGATTGATTTTTTAAAAATTTGTCCGCCATATTGGATCCGCCATTTTGAATTTTGACAAACTGACCTCAAATTCGAATTCAGCGACTACGAAAACCCCCGAGTAACAATTTGTGGTCAAAACGCATTAATTTTTAAATTATCCACCATATTGGATCCGCCATTTTGAATTTTGAAAAACCGACCTCAGATTCGTAATCAGAGACCCCGAAAACCCCTGAGCAACGAGTTTCATGTAAATCTGATAAATTTTAAGTTTTCATGGTCGCCATTTTGGGTCCGCCATTTTGTTTTTTTGAAATCTGACTTCAAATTTGGATTCAGCGACCCCAAAAACCCCCGAGTAACAAATTTCAGGCGAATCAAATTAAATTTAGTATTATTTTTTTGCGATGGCCATATATGGCCACTTGCACAAAGGTGGCACGACTTTTTCTGGCCACATATGGGCCCTGGACTGTCAAGGGGTTAATGATAATTTAACATTTTTTTTTTGCGCTTACGAGCGAATAGGAGAATAGTAGTATCGCAGCGCCATCTGTTGAATATTTTCTATCAGAAATCCAGTACCAAATTCGAAAACGAATTCTAAAGGGTCATTCCATTTTATTTCACCTATAGTCGTTGCAGCCTATTTTTAGAAAAATTTAATATTTTTTATTAATGACTTTGAATATCCGTACAATTCATTTTTGACAATTATTTTATGAAATTTTTTTTTATTTACGTTGAAATTTAGTTTTTAAGTTGAGTTGAACGGAAAATAGGTTAGTTTGACAGCTTTGGAAATTTTATAAAAAAGAACAGAAATAATTTAGTTATTAAAATTTTTTTCATTGATATTTGTTGAAAATAGTCTAATTTACCAACATGTTAATTGATAATTGTGTAAAAAAGCCAAAATACTACGTGAAAATTAATATTCAAACTTACCTGTAAAATGTCAAAATTTGTCACATTTTATTTATATTTTCCAAGAAAGTTTATAAATATTATAAAATTCATTACTATCTAACAATAAGTACTTTCCAAGAACTTTCACATGATATGTTGGCTTTCTATTTTTATAATATAGAAATATGTGAAATTTTACCTTGAATCTTGAACTTTTGAGGATTTTATCTGATTTTGAACACTTATATCTTCGCAGGCGATTAATGAAAAAATCCTATTTTGGTTTTAAAATTTAAGTTAAATCTTCTTTATTCATCTTATCAAAATTTGATGATGGAGAACGAGCTACTTTTGATTTTTATTCACTTTAAAAAATTCACCGTAAAATACGAATTTGAAGGTTAAAAAACAAGTATTTTTATAAATAAAATTCATACAAATAAATCTATATTGAGAAAACCAACTTCAGTTTTATAAAATTACTTGTTTTTTAACCTTTAAATTCGTATTTTAAGGTGGATTTTTTAAAGTAAATAAAAATCAAAAGTAGCTCGTTCTCCATCACCAAATTTTGATAGGATGAATAAAGAAAACGTAACTTAAATTTTAATACCAAAATGGGATTTTTTCATTAATCGCCTGCGAAGATATAAGTGTTTAAAATCTGATAAAATCCTGAAAAGTTCAATATTCAAGGTAAAATTTCACTTTTTTTTATATTATAAAAATAAAATGCCAACATATCATGTGAAAGTACTTGGAAAGTACTTATTGTTAGGTAGTAATAAATTTTATAATATTTATAAACTTTCTTGGAAAATATAAATAAAATGTGACAAATTTTGACATTTTACAGGTAAGTTTGAATGTTAATTTTCACGTAGTATTTTGGTTTTTTTTACATAATTATCAATTAACATTGGTAAATTAGACTATTTTCAACAAATATGAATGAAAAAAAATTTACTAACTAAATTATTTCTGTTCTTTTTTATAAAATTTCCAAAGTTGTCAAACTAACCTGTTTTCCGTGCAACTCAACTTAAAAACTAAATTTCAACCTAAATAAAAAAAATTTCATAAAATAATTGTCAAAAATGAATTGTACGGATATTAAAAGTCATTAATACAAAATACCAAATTTTTCTAAAAATAGGCCGCAACGACTATAGGTGAAATAAAATTGAATGACCCTAAATTATAATTTTTTTTTTTTAATACTTTTTGGCTATTAATTAATTATTTTTAACTATTTAAAAAAATATATAAAAATTCTCATATGTGAAAATATTATTTTCTTCAAAACAAAAAAAATATTAAAAATAACAAAATTCCCTCTATGTTTAATCTTTTTCTTTTGATATTAAATCTTGAAGTTTATCTGCAGTTGGTTGTTTTTCTTCTCCTTTTTTTTTGTGCACCGCAAACTACAATGGTATTTTAAAATAACATAGAATGAATTTAAGGTGAACGGATGAGATTTATTCAAATACATGTAAGCGTAGTTATGAGGTGCCTTGGAAACAGCGTGTATATATATATATATATGTGTATGTATAAACCCCCCGTGCCCGAGAGATGTAAGCGTTTTATGTGTTCGATGTAGAAAAGCTCCGGAGAGTGGGACTTTTAGGATTTTGATAAGACGATCGTTTTTCCACTCGGTGACGTGAGATTTGCGATTCTTGAATGTGGTTTCTCGAAGCAGTAAAAAGTCGAACGAGATTTTCTCACGATGCGCGCGAGACCACACGACTATTTCTAGAAAGAGAGAGAGAGACTATAAATGGAACGTTTTGCGACTCACCCAGCATCGATCACTTTACATATCATCAAAAAAAAAGAAGGAAAAAAAACGATTCGAAATAACCTTTCTTTTCTCATCTAGAAATAATCACTAGAATTTCATCGGATTATTTAATTTTGAAATTTACTTTACATAATTTTACAATTACAAATTTAGAAAAATTTTTGCTTCCTGAATTAAAAAAGAAGAAAAAGTTCCCGCCATTAAAAATATCAAAAGACGTAAAAGGTAAACAAAAAATAAAAATAGAGTTTGATTTTTAACCTGTCATGGATTTAAAATGCAAATAGGGAGGTAAGAAAAAAAAAATTTCAAAATAAAGTTTAAAAATCGCTGAATCATGTGATTTCTTTTCTTTTATTTTTTTTTTTTCGGTGAAAAAAAAGGTTATTCATCGCGATTCTTGGTTTCCATTCGCTTTGCATTTCACTTAGTCAGAAAGAAACCCTCCGTTAAGTAAACATCGTCAATGTAGTAACGTTAGGAGGAAAAAAAAAAGAGGTAGAGGCCGGACAAAGAAAGGCAGGGCTCTAACGAGAATCCATTGCTTTTGAAAGCCTCGAGCTCCTTTCTTCGCCTTCTCTCTCTGACATGAAAGACTCTCACATGTATGTGTGTGTGTGTGTGTGTGGGTATGCGGTTAGGGTCGACGGTGCTAAGAAAACACTCTACTATGGTCTCTGAATCCATGGTCAAACTGGACGTAAGCGGATATAGACATAGACGTAAATCCTCACAAACAAAAACCAGAACAACTAACTAATTCCATTACAAAACGCTTTTAAGCGCGTGTGTTTCGTTTTCTTTTCTTATATATTTTACTAAAAAGAAATATCCTAGTTTTTTACAAAAGAATTTATTTAAAATATTACAATTAAAATGATAAAATTAAAAATTATTTTATTATAAAATAAAAATAATATTAAAGTAATAAAAAAAATAAAATAAAAATAATAAAAATAATAAAGAAAGTAATGAAATTAAAAATTAAAAAAAGTAATTAAAATAGTTTAGTTGAAATAAATAATAAGTGTCTAAAATTAAGTGTTCTGTTTAATGAATGTCTGACTAAAATATGTTTATACTACTTAAATTCATATTAACAGGATTCAACACGACCAAATATAATAAATTTTAATTTGATAATGCAATATGTATGTCATAAACAGGTGGAAAATGTGACAATTGTCTGACTTAATACAGATTGTTCTACTTGTACAGTTTGTTGGAGAATTATAATTTACTACTTGAATGTATTTTCATTTTTTGTTATAATGTCTTTTTGGAAAACATTTTTTTTTTGTGATAAATTATAATGACAAGGAAAATAGAATTAGGATTTATTTCTACAATTATAGTAATAATTATTATGTCTGACCAAATCGTGTTTGTACTACTTCGATATTTTAGGCAATTTTTAAATATTTTCTAAAAGTAAAAAAAAAGACAGAATTTTTCAAATTGAAATACATTTTTCGAAACTACTTTTTATTTTAAAAAACTTTTTTCGTCTGACTAAAACATGTTTATACTACTTAAATTTTTATTCACAGATTTCAATGTTAGGGTAACGCGACCAAATATAATAAATTTTCATTTAAAAATAAATTAATGTATAACATAAGCATATGGAAAATGGGCTAATTGTCTGACTTAAAATAAATTGTTCTACTTATACAGTTTATGAATATATTATAATATACACGCAAGTAAAATCCAGCATTATTCAAAATTTTCGATTTTTTAAATTTAAGAGATAATCCTTCGGGAATACCGCCAAAGTACCTATTAACCCGAAAGGATCAAAAAATGTATAACACACTTTTTGATTGGTCCAGCAGCTAGGTCACGATAAATTTTGGATTTTTGGAAAAATTTTCGACATTTTTCGAAACAGTAAATTATAATGTCTCTAAAATTGTTTAAATTTAATTAAAGATTATTATTACTTTTTTTTAACTAAATAAATAATAAATGTCTGATCAAACTGTGGTTTTACTACTTACTGCGTTATAACGCCAATTATCTTTTTTTAATCGTTTCATAATTATTATTGTGTGCCAATTAAAATTGCAATTAAATTCATAACCATTTAAATGCTAAACAATATTTTGCAAATTATCATGTGAATTTAATGTGCACTTCTGAGTGTATAGGAAATTTTGGAATAAATGTAAAATTTTAGAGTGAACATGTAAATTTACATATAGAAATATTACCCACAGATATATAACTATGATATATACTTTGGGGGTAGAAAATTTACATTAGAAGTTATGGTAAATTTATCTTAGTATTGAATCTAGGAAAATTTACGACATCAGAGAACAATCTCTAGGAATATTATTAACAATGTAAATTTACTTATAACTTAAGATTTACTTTTACGCTACTTTGAACGAGTCATTAAAATTAATTAATTATTTTTTTTTTTATTTCAAATAAATATTTATTGGTTCTCAAAAAACTTTTAGTTGATAAAACCAAAATTTTGGTGTTTCAATTATTTTTTTAATTGTATTATAACAAAAAATAAAAAAATATAAAAAAGTTTAATAAAATATAAAGTGAAAAAAAAGTGAGATTTAATTGATATAAAATATTTACGCTATAACATAATAATCTTAATGGCAATAAAAATGATTGATTACACGTGCTAAAGTGGAAGTTTGTGAAGGAGGCTATTCGAAAGTTATAGTGCTTAGTTAATTCCTGTACATTCCCGTGGCGACCATAACATTCCCGAGGTTATACCGGTACTACGAAATTCATGTCTATTAAAGACAGTCGTTACAGCGTTGCAATGTACACCATGATCCGTCGTATGGGTTTCTATAACCATTTCGCATTAGATGTACGTCGAAAACACGTCCGCGTTACGGCACTATATTACACACCGTTACACACGCCTTGTTTATATACCATCAGTAGTAATATTTCGTAAACGAATATACATGTTCATTTCTAATGATAAAACTAACTGTTATAATTTCGACAGTCAAATCAATTTATATTCTATATATGTTTGTAAATTTAAGCTCAGACAATTATTTCACATTAAATATACACAAAATGAATAATTAATAATAATCACAAAATTTAGTAAAGAATTTTCAATATTTTAATCTTATCAAACATTTTTAGTACTATTGATATAAAAATTAAAAACATTTTAGTCTGACAGTAACTGTTTTGTACTACTAGTAAATACAACTAATTCTAAATAGTTTTGTGAAACTAAAACAGTGTTTCACTGCTTGTAAAAATAGTAATAGTAAAAAAAATGCAAAATATTTTAGTCTGACTAAAATTTTATTTTACTACTGAATAAACAGTTTTGTCTGACTAATCATTTTTATTACTACTGATACAATTATGATAATAACTATTAATAGTTTATTCTGAATATTTTACTACTAATATAAGAAATTGAGAAATTTCAGTCTGACTAAAAATGTCTTTTACTACTGATTTAAAAGTTTACTTCGTCCAATTCTTTTTCATTACTAATCCAAAACTGATGATAATTAAGAACAGTTTAGTCTGACTAAACCTGCCTTTTACTACTGAAACTGTTTGTGATGTTGTAAATACTTTAGTATTTGTAGTCTGACTCATAAAGTCTTATACTACTTATACTGACTTCAACTACTAGTAGTACAAGTCAATGTTCTATATTAAAAATAGAGAAATTTAATTACTGTCTGACTAAAATTGTATTTTACTACTAAATACAATAACTACACACTAAAAAAGAAATCTTGATTTCAGCCTATTTTTGAGGCTGAATTTAAGGTGTAAACGGAGTCAGACCAATTAAAAAAGGACAAACTTATGCAAAATATATGGGCTTAATTTAAGGTGTAAACGGTTTAAGACTTTGTTTTTACTGTGTAACAGTAATTCGAATTTGCAATAAATATTTTCAAAAAAATTTGCTCTTCGAAACAGTTACTGAATTTATTATTATTTTGTGAATATATTTCCATTGACAAACAAAAATATTATATTACATAAATCTATTCTTGAATTAAAATTCGAAAAATTGAATTAAAAAAAAAGTAATAATAATTATAAATTTTGTTTATAGATTCACTGCCAAGATTTGCAGAGCCAATACCAAATGTGACAGTGAGCATAGGGCGAGACGCCCAACTATCTTGCGTTGTCGACAATCTACGAAATTTTAAGGTAAACTTTAAAATTTTTTTAATTATTAATTAATTATTAATAAATTATTAATTAATTGTCATTAAATTATTAATTAATTGTCAATAAATTATAATTTGAATAAAAAAATTTGAATAATAATTTCCTTAAGAAAACGAATTTTAATTATAAATATTTATAAACCAGTTTAATAAACAAAAATTTACTTTTTAATTTTCTATTTAGAATGAGAAAAAAGAAAATTAGGTGAATGCTATGACTTTATTCTCAATAGGACAATCATAGACATTGTTTTAAATGCAAATTGTAACTGTAGAATGAAAGCCCGTAGAATGGGTGTAATGTTTTAAATGCTGAGTAATTTTATTAAAAACTCTCAAGGTACAGTATGACACAACTGCAGTGCATATCCAAGATTAAATGAAGTTTGTCGAGCTGCAAGAGAGAGAGAGAGAGAGAGAGAGAGAGAGAGAGAGAGAGAGAGAGAGAGTAAGAAAGTGACTTCATCACGTCACTCAGTAAATGAAATCTTTCTCTTGCAGACGCGCTCAGAGAAAATTTAGTTTCGTTAACATTTTCCCCACGTAGACACTACTGGACTTCAGTTCTTTAACATAGACATTTCTCTAAGAAAGTCATGAACAAGAGTTATATACAAAGAACATGAAGATCTATTCTGATCTTATCATTTTTAGGCAAAAAAAAAATACGAATTTTTCTCTTGCAGGCTTTCTTAATTTTCTGCATATGTGCGCTTTTGAAAAGAAATTTGATTTTACCATTATTATTTTTCTAATTGTACCAAAGAATACAGACATATTTTAAAATTCCATTTGCAATTTTTATAAAATTAATTTTTTTCTTTAAAAAAAATAAAAACAGTGATTTTTAGAATTTAAAAAAAAAATTGAAATCGTTAAAAATAATTTTTTTTTAATACATTTTTAAGAAGAGAAAAAAAGTCAATTCACCTGTCAGTTGAATGTATTTACAAAAGAAATCTTACAAATGGGAATGAAAGAAAGAAAACTACAATAAAAAAGCAGGGACAATACACAATATTAAAAACGACCATTACTTGCGTTTGTACTTATGTCTTAAGAATAAAAAAGATGTTCTCTCAACCCATAGAAATATTTAAAAAAAAAAAATGAACCACCTGACTTCAATTGTTTTCACCCTACTTTTCACAAAATTCACAATCTAAAAGAACTATATTATTTTCAATGCACTCTTTTACTAAAGATTTTTAAATTCTTATCCTAATTTATAAAATTTTATTTTCTCCAAAATAAATTCTTCAATCAAAAAAAAAACATCTTTTTTCAATTTTTTGAAAATATTTCTTTTTGTTAAATAAAAAAAAAAAAGAGAAAAACTTTTCACATATGAATTGAAATATTTATTTAATCAATTTCATCTTCTTTTTTCTTGTCGTGATAAATAATAAATTTTGTCGCGTAAGAAAACTTTTCGTTTTTGAGCGCTACAAATGACAAAATTCCCAAGATGTCCTCTTGTTCGAAACTCGAGTATATTGTGTAACATGTTCATGGACAGAGTTCACTCTATATATTACATTGAATTTTCCAACAAGGAACCCCAACGTGTCTTTGCACGCGTTTTCCTGAGAAAATGCATTTCTGGGGAAAACTTAAACAGCAAAATGGGATTTTATGTGTGGTCGAAAAATTGGAATTTACGTAAGAGAGAGAAAGAGAAAGAGAGAGAGAGAGTGAGAGATTGTGAGTTTGTACAAGGATGGATTAGAAAGGATTCAAGGTGGATTGGCAGAAATATCGATTGAGACTGAAAACTATCGGTTTCAAATAACCCTACCGCACACTACTGTAATCCTGGTAATACTTCCTGGATTTAGACGAGAAACTTACATTTGAGAGAGAGCACACGTTGGTTTTCGTCCATTAAAGTTATATGTTTCTGTATTTCTCTATCTACTTATGGCGAAACGTGTATATTTCCTTCGACTTAGTATATAAGGAATCGACTTGATAAATTTCTTCCAACTGACTATATATGTATATACAGAAAGCTGAAAAGAGCTTCGCGTAGTTTGAAAGCAGATACTTTACTTTATTCAACGAACACATAGTTCCGGCACAAGTTTCAATAGCAATGCTTTCAAAAAGTATTTGTAAAGGGGCGATGAAGGGGCTGGAGGTACAGAGAGAGAGAGAGAGGGGGGGAGAAGTAAACTTTTCATCCAAAGCAATTTTTATTCAATTTTCAAACAACAACTTATTCATTTCGTTAAAACTGCTTCATTTTATGTTTTAAATAAGATTTTGACTGTAGGGTATTTAAATTTTCTTTATATAGATAAAGAAGAATATTTGTAATTCTAATTTTTAAGTTTAGTTGAGTACAATATTTATTAGACTAATAAAAGCATTTCAAATATGTTTTTAAAAGTTTTCTCTTCGAGGTTCCTGCATTCTCGGCAGCAAATAATCAAATTTCATTCGCGTACTTTATTTTTATTTCAATTAATTCCGAGGAAATTATACAGTAATGAAGGTAAAATTAAAAAAAAAATTTCAAAATTAAGTTTTAATAAAATATTGAAACTTGCTAGGGGGAAAAATCCTTAGCAAACCGTAAAGAAAAAACGGTAATTGTAACGGTTATTATGGTAACTGTTTTTGTTATGTAAACAGTTGCTATGGTAACGGTTACTATATGGTTAATTTTTAATTTAATATAAAAAACAAATTAAAAACTTAAATTAATAATTAAATTATTTAATAAGAAAAGAAATTTATGTACTTGCAATTAACAAAAATGGTTGTGTAATTTTTTTTTTTAGGTAGCGTGGGTTCGTGTCGACACACAAACAATTCTCTCAATTCATCATAATGTAATTACACAAAATCCACGTATATCACTTTCATACAATGATCATCGTTCTTGGTTTCTTCACATAAAGAAAGTTCAGGAAGTGGATCGTGGTTGGTACATGTGTCAAGTAAACACAGACCCTATGAGAAGTCGTCAGGGCTACCTTCAAGTTGTTGGTAAGTTTCCTTCACGCCAATCAACTATGCGACACAAACATGTCTCTCACAACTCGCTATATTCTAAATGTATACACACATATATATATGTATGAAACATCAGGACGACGAATTACTACACCCTGTTATCTTCTACTCAGACAACTAATTTAAGAAGTTATGCGAATAATCTACAAAGCTGAATTAGAACTCTAGGTCACACAACTACTCCAATTTATCACTTAAAGTGTTACACGTACAATGTTCGCGAATTTAATTTAACAGTTGCTTGCATTTGCATTCGGGGAATCGAAATGATTCTTGTTCAAAATTCAAAATGTTACATCACGTAAATAATGTGAATAATAATGAAAAATATTTTTATAACAATTATTGCTATTTTTATTATTATAATTATACACTATTATTATTATTATTATTACTATTACTATTACAGTGGAACCTCGATTATCCCCCAGGTGAAAAAATTAACGTTACTAACGTTACTAATGTTACTAACATTACTAATGTTACTAACGTTAGTACCTATAAAAAAATTAAGAGTTTCTAAAATATATTTTCACAGAAACTTTGCCACTACTTTCCCATTACCACTTTCACTTCCACTTCCACTTAAACTTTTTTGTAATTTTCAGTCCCATTTCCACTTATACTTTTTCTAATTCTCATTCGCACTTCCATTTTCACTTCTACTCTTTCTAATTCTCATTCCCACTTCACTTCCACTTTTTCTAATTTTCATTCCCACTTCACTTCCACTTTTTCTAATTTTCATTCCCATTCCTATTTCCACTTCCAGTTTTTTATATTCATTGCCACAACCACTTTTTCTAATTCTCATTCCCACTTTCACTTCGACTTGTTCCAATTTTCATTCCCATTTCATCTTCCACTTTTTTATTTTCATTACAACTTTTTTATATCTTCACTCCCACTTCCATTCCTAATTATTTAAATTTTCATTATCACTTTCACTTTTACTAATTTCCATACATGGTAATTAAAAAAAGTGTAAATGGTTGTGTAAATGGAAATTAGAAAGAGTTTTAGTCGAAATGGCAACAGCTAATGAAAATTAGAAGTGGAAAAAATGGGAGTAGAAGTGGGAATGAAAATTAGAAAAAGAGAAGTGGGAATAAAAATTAGAAAAAGTGGAAGTGGTAATGAAAATAAAAAAGTGAAAATGGAAATGAGAATTAGAAAGAGTGGAAGTGGAAATGGAAGTGCGAATGAGAATTAGAAAAAGTGAAAGTGGAAACGGTAATGAAAATAAAAAAAGTGGAAGTGATAATAGAAATGAAAATTATAAAAAGTGCGGGTAAGAACATTAAATACTTCCTGGTGGTCGATTTTCGACAAGTTTCTGCAAAAATACAATTTAGAAATATTTTCTTAATTTTCTATAGGTACTAACGTTAGTAACATTAGTAACGTTAGTAATGTTAATTTTTCTACCTGGGCCGAACTAATCTAGGCAAGGCCGGGTTCGGATAATAGAGATTTTATTTTTTTTTTTATAATTAAAGTAAAAAAATGTACAGTTGAACTATATATTTAACTTAATACATATGTTTTTAAATATACATAAGTATATACATATATGTAAATATATATTAATTAATAATATATTAAAAAGTCAGAAAAATTCGGAAATTTTTAAGATTTTTTTTGGCATAAATTTGGTTATTTTGCTTTTGAAAGATAGCATCTATTCGTTTTTTAGATGCCAAATCACGCATTCTTCTCAGAAATGAATGAATGATAAAATAAATAGAGAAAATAAAATTAAAAATTCGGGAGACCAAAAAATAGTTCGGATAATAGAAGTTCGGATAAAATGTTTTTCGGTTCGGATAATCGAGGTTCCACTGTATTATTAAAATTGTTATCACAGAAAATTAAAAGGCATTAAAATAAGCTGCAACGCCTATTATTTTAATCCAATTTTGCTTATTTTAATACCAAAATGAATTAAAATAAGCAAAATTGGATTAAAATAATAAGCGTTGCAGCTTATTTTAATGCCTTTTAATTTTCTGTGATATTAAATAATTTTTGATAAAATATAAATTATCTATTTTTTTTAATTAATTTAAATAAATACACGAATGACCTAGAAAAATGCTTTTTGCGTTGTTTTTTTTTTTTATTATTTTCTTTATTTCTTTTCATATTACAGTGCCACCGTCGATCATTGCCAAAGAAACAAGTACGGACATGGTTGTACGTGAAGCATCGAATGTAACATTAACTTGCAAGGCAACCGGATATCCAGAGCCCTATGTTATGTGGAGACGTGAGGATGGAGAGAATATAAATTATAATGGCGACAGTGGTGAGTATTTAATTCGCAAATAAAAATTACATATTTTCTCATAATATATATATATTATTGTATATATTGTATTTTTTTTTTACCGAAACAATAGCGTACGTAGTCGTTATTCTTTTTCAAATGTCAGAGATGAGAATGAATGCTGGCAGGTATTAAAAGCATCGTAAATTTCTTATACGCCTTCGTTATACGTTCAACTCACACATGATTTTACAATATTAATTAGTTTATCCAGCAAACAGAAGAATTACTAAATCGCATTGGAATTATGAATTAGTAAAAAAAATACTTTTTTTAATTTATATTTTGAAAAATTGTAACATTTTCAAAGACATGGAAAATATTTGTTAAATTCCAAATTTAAATTTTGAAAATAAAATCGCATTTTCAAATATCGAAATAAATGTAAACTTCAGTTTAAATTTCATTTGCTTTTAAAAATGTAATTTATTTTTTCCATTGACAGTTGTATTGAATTCAAATAATGAAGTTAAGTTGAATTTATTTTTCGTTTTTTTTTTTTTTGTTTTATTAAATTACTTCAACCAGATCGCTCTCTCTCTCTTTTTCGATCACAGCCAATGCGTGAAATAGAAATTATGCAGATTCTCTTCAATGTAATGCGTTACTTTCACGATCAATTATTAACGAACACGGCTGTCCAGCATCGAAATTCTGTCGCCCGATTAACTCGATGTTGTAACGCAATTATTCAGCCGCCAATGACATTTCACGTTTGTGAAGATTCGTTCACAATACATGAAACTTGGGTTTTTTGCAAAAAAAAAGAGAAAATCAACTCTTTTTCAATTAACTTAAAATGGAAAAAAAAATTACAATTTGAAAATGCGTTAAATATTACAAAAATAAATGTTCCTCATTCTCTAATTGACAAAAAATATTGTTAAACACAAAAATCTTAATTAAAATCCAAATATTCGTAATTATAAGAATTTAATAATTATTAAATTAAAAATAAATTATAAAAATAATAAAATTTTTAAAATGAAAAAAAAATTATCTTTTGTTGGCATTTTTTGTCAAATATATAGTAGTAACGTGTCTAAAAGTGAAAAAAAAAATTGTGTTATTAATCTTCGTGACCATTGTGGTCCTTGCAACAACGCAGTAATTATCAAATGTAGTTTATATAGAATGTAAAATCGTAAAATTGAGTTATATGCGGATACTGTTGGTGACATGCTTTTTTTTTATTGTCCAAGTATATATAACTTCAAACGGGTCATAATATTTGAAGAGAGGTGAAAATTATGTGACAATTATACAATGACATTAAGTATTCGGTAAAAGCTTTATATATATAGCAGTTTCAAGTTTTAGTTTTCACCACTTTCATTAAAAAAAAATACCACATTAAGATCAATTTTTTTTCTTAAAAAAAAATGAATTCATTTTTCTGAAATTTTAAATTCTTCAACAAAATCATTTTTTTGGAAAACAAAAATTATTTGACAATTATTAATTTAATTAAATTCATTTTTTTCAATTTGTTTCAAATATTTTTCGTGTATATAAAATGAGAGGGAAAAAAACAAGTCTATTTTTCATACATGAAATTTCTGGTTGTTAAATGTCTTACTAACATAATACAATTGATGCCAAGCGCCCTAGAACTCTAAAGTTCACTTTACTGCATCCTGCAGTTTACTCAACTTCAAGAAGCATGTACTTTACGACTTTGCATCAGTCAGACCAAGTTATTCCTTATTTGCGTATGAATAAAATATTACGAGCTCTCGCGAATAATGTTCTTCAAAGCATAATATTTTGCATCCTTTACAGGTTTGATCAATATAAACTTTCCCTCGAATTAATTACCAGCCTTTAGCATTTTGTGTAATTTAAATGCATTTTCTCATCTCTCTCTCTCTCTCTCTCTTTCTCTTTTAACATATATGAGATTAATATATTTAATATTTTCATAATAATAATTTTTTTTTACCTAAAGAAAACAATTAAAAACATTTATCTCAAATGCTTTATTTTTATTTGAAACTGTATAATAATAATCTTCTAATTTTTTTTTTTCTCTACTATTTTGACAATTAAAATTTTTAAAATTACTATTTTTACAATTATAAATTTTCTGTTTTGAAATAAATTTTATTTACAGTTCGAATAAAAATTTTATTTGTGTTAAATTTTTTTTTTAATGCAAATAAATAATTATTTAGTAAAAGTGATTAAAAATATTTTTATGAATAAAAATTCATCTTTTTCTATATATTTACATTTGGCGGTTTTATTTTATTTATCTTTTTCATGTATGTGAATTCCATTTTCAGTGCATCGAAATATAACATTCATCCTTATTTCCTATTGTCGAATCGCATGCTCTCCTTTCGTACAACTCGGAAGTATTTCATCGATCCGCAAATGCCGCGATGTCGTTTTCTTTAAAGGTATTGGTAGTTGATATCTTGTATCGCGTGGAGAACGAGCATAATGGCTCCATATCTTGTTGTTTGGAATTCCATAAATGTGGCAACATATATATATAAATATGTGTGTGTGTGTCAAAGAATCTACGAATGATCAATGTTGTTTATCTAGTATCTATTTTCTAAACCCAGAACCTTCAATAAAACACTATTGTTAAATATATGTATATATATAAAAGAATAACATACAGTAAAGTGTCAGATTTCGTATCTCTATTTTCTTGTTATGATTGTAATTTTCCTCGCTTGGTTCTATTACTTCTCAACAACTGACATTAAAAATGATAGATGAGTTAAAATATTTAAAAAGTAATCTTTCAAAATTATTAAGTTTTATAATAGTCGAAAACTGTTTATTTCAAAATTATTTTACACAAATAATATAATTATATTTCCATTTTTCTATTTCCTATTTTTCTATTTCTTCTTTCAATTTTCACATTTTTATATTTTATATTTACTCCAAATTTTTATATCTAATTTAAAAAAAAATGTTATCACCTAAATCATGATAATTTCATTTATTTTTTTTCTCCGTACTAAAAATATTTATTCGATTATTCCTGTAATGTTATTATAAAAAATTTGCAATTATCGAATAACAAATTTGTTGAAGTAAAAAAAAAACAAATTTTAAAATATAATAATTGCATTAAAATTATTTAGGTATTCCATTAATTTCTTTTTTTTTCCCCGGTGAAAATTGATTTGTTTTTATCTTGTAATTGTATTTAATAAAACAAGATTTGTGGATTATTGAATAAAAATTATTTCTGGTCCCAAAAACACATTATTATAGAGAAATAGAGAATAACATAATTTAATCTTTTAGGATCTGTATTACATTACCAAAGCATGGTTGGCGCATATTATATTACATTGTACATTATACTTTAATGCATTATATATGTGATAAGCACAGTTGACAGAGATCGATGAGGAAAAAAATTCTTTATTGCACAAATAATTTCCATCCCCCTTTTCACTAACAGAGAAAGAGAGAGAGGGAGGGAGGAAAAAATAAAACATTAATCATAATTATATATAAAAATACACATCATCACTTTAAAAAAAAAAAACGGAAAAAAATTTCAATCTGAGTGATATGTTATTCACGGCTTTGTACAATATGAAATGGGTTATTGCTCAATCCATCAGACAATGAATAAGTAATTAGTGTTATAAATACGGATTCATCATTAAGATTTAGTGTGCGGTTATGAAAACAGTAGTAAAAGCAGTATATGACTAGATATGTTGCAAAATTTACTACTTTGGATTAGTAAAATATTCAAATTTTCCATTATTATTACGAGCACTCAATAATTATATTGCTAAACTAATACATTGTCTTCTATTCAATAATAAGAGGGATGAAATTCTCAATGTTCCATTAAACAAATATATATATGTATTAGTTTAATTTTATTATAATTAATTTTAAAAAGAACTATTTTAACTAATTTTCTATTTTTCTTTACAGGGGGGAATTTAAATTTTTCAGTTGAATTTAATTACGTTTGTCTTAATTTATTTGCCTGATAGTGCAGTTTATATTATTGTTTTCATAATTAATAAACGAAATAATCCCAAATGATTGAATTAACATAGCTTTTAGTGCATTAAATTGTAATATTACAATTTGAAACACAACAATTGAGAAATGTTTTGTCTGACTAAAATCCACTGTTACTATACTCAAAATAAAATAGCAATAGATGGTTAAAGAAGCAGATGCCTGACTAAACTGGGTTTTTACTACTGACGGCAAATATTTTAAAAATTAGAAAAAAACGTCTGACTAAACCTGTCTTTAACTACTGACTTTATTCTTACAGGGATTTAATTACGTTACGTCTGACTAAACAGGGGTTTTACTACTGATGACAAATATTGTAAGAGTTAAAAATAAACAGTCTGACTAAAATTGACCTTAACTACTGATTTTATACTCGCATGAATTTAATTGTGTTACGTCTGACTAAACAGGGTTTTTACTACTGACGATAAATATTGTAAGAATTAGAAAAGAACTGTCTGACTAAAGCAGACTTTAACTACTGGTTCTAAACTTGTAGGAATTTAATTATGTTACGTCTGACTAAACAGGGTTTTTACTACTGACGATAAATATTGTAAAAAGAAGGAAAGAACTGTCTGACTAAAACTGACTTTAACTACTGATTCTAACTTGTAGGAACTTCTGAACTTGTAGAAATTTAATTATATTACGTCTGGCTAAACTTGGCCTTTACTACTAATATGAGAAAAATGGTTTCTATGTGACATACTTTTACTACTGACCAATTGTAAACAAAATAACCGAATTTTGGAAATTCCTCATTAAATAAAATTGGCATTTTCAGTTAAGTTAACAAAATAACAGAAAAAAATTCTGTCTGACCAAAAACTTGTTTTTACTACTGATTTTATAATTTGTGAAATTCAAATAAATTAACGTCTGACTAATACCGTCATTTACTACTTTTTTCAAAAAAAAAATTTTCTGTCTTACCAAAAACTCGTTTTTACTACTGA